TAAGCGCACACTATATATCGAGCAAGTAGAATATCTCAAAGATTAGTCCTCATTGCTCCCTTCTATGCCGACTAGATTTGCATTCCGAAGAACACTTTGTAAGTGGGAAAGGCCATAAAATTGACGCATATTTCCCATCCAAACAGACTTTACACTGCATTTCTTTTCTAGATCATCTTTTCTGTGGTTGCGCTCAGTGTAGTTTTGGCAGGAAACCATTTTTAAACTCAAGTTTACATTCTTTACGATCTTGTGTTACACTTTCCCTCTTTCAGGGACCGCATTTGGCAGAACGAGGTGCGATATCGCTCTCGGCTCCTGCGATTGGAGCAAACCCCGCCACCGTTTCGTGATTTTCGCATCGTTGTCATGAGAAAGGCTCGTAATGTGAAATAAATCCGTACATGATTTTTGTTCTGCTCCATGTACGACTTTTCGTAAATCTTGGCATTGTGAGTTTCTTGAAGCAGTCAAGCCTTCACTAAGATTGGTATAAACTTTATTTGGCTAACGTTTCCGCCAACTCGCCTTCGTCAGAGCCTGTAATTGAGGAATAAATGAGATTTACTCTCCCAAATGTCCGATCAACTGCTAGGAAAAGGACATGTGTTTGATGTTGGTGGCCCCACGGACAGGATCTCATGACTACACAATCTAACCCTAGTTCAGTTATTACGGTATGTCCTCGCACACCTATCCAGTACAAGCACCCTTTTGGACCATTTACGGAATACACAGTCCAAAGAGTGACGTCATAGAGTCATTTGACGTAACATCTTTGTGCACTAAGTGTCAAATTCTGCTGCGCTGCGAGCTGTATTCGAGTTGCTCACTGAAAACGTCAACAACATGAGCTTGTACAGTCTCACCATCTAGCAGGTCATGACCTTGCTGAAAGCATGTTTGGACTGTTCGGTGTTCCGCTGGTCCGGGCAGTACTTCCGTCAGGTAAGAGGTCTTGCAATGGGACAACGTTTGGCACCTGTGGTAGCCATAACATTCATGTCCAAAGTAGAGTAGTCCAACTTTCAACGTGTTCTTTTCGAAAGCACTTCGGAAATATATCAGAAGAACTAACTTCATTTCAAAAGGTTCTCAATATGTAGCGGTCATCAAAAACAGTTCTTTTTGAGGCAGACCTACTGAAGTACAAAAGAAATCAGTCTCTTTTTTTGTTCCTCTGAATGACTCAATGCGTCGGCTTTTCTAATTTGCTGCTAAAGATGGCGCATGGAGAATTGTACAGTATTAGCAGACTCAATCTGTTATCTGATTCAAGGTTATTTCTTAAGAACTAAACCGCGTATTTGGACTACATTTACTACTTCGTCGCCCTTGAAAAGCACAAACTTCTGTTTCCTTTTCTCAGTCTCCTTACTAAATTTCCTGATATTCCTACTACTCGTAGCAGATAGCAGACGCAGGACAAAGACTGCGAACGGATCGCAAAATCAAACTCAAACAGCCCTACTAAAAGAAAAAATTGAAATTGGGATTCATCTTTACTTTGCTCTCAACCATTGAGCGCATCGGCTGATATTACTCGCATCACAATCATCGTAGGACGGAAACTCCAGTAAGCTCCTCTTAACCGAACTTCCTTGGCAGAGAACAAAAACGAAGCCTACTTTGTTATTGTGAATGTAAATGACTTGCTTGTTTGTTAAGCATTCATATTGCAAAACATTGAAAATCAATAAATCTATAGAAGGGCCCAGTGAATCGCCTCGAAAAGTAGCGCAAAAGAAGCTTCGGGGTCGAAAACATATGTGTGCAAATTTTTAGCCCCATTGGTTCATTGGCAGGCGTTTCCATGCTTTCTAGAGCTTTTGTTCGCTGAATTCCATAATCATATTTGCACAGTGACAGCTTGAGTTAACACTGCAGAAACGCCAGTCAACAGGTTAAAACTACCAGCCGTGATAGAAAGAAGGCACTCAAGAACTCATGGAACCTATGGAATTTCGTGTGCCACTCCGTTAGGCAATATAATTTATGTGAATTTTTATGAGAAGACTGTGATAGTGTATGTACCTTTCCATCGGCAAAATGCTAAATAAGCAACTGTGTGTTCAGGAATTTGCAATCTTAGAGGACATCTAGTAGAAGTATAGAACCTCGTTATCTTCCGTCTTTTGCTCTTTGGTTTCCTTCGAGTTATCTACTAGTGTTTATCGGGTAGAGGAACGAAAACCTCAAACGCCGCCTCCGCGGACTACTGGTCCTAACACGATGCACAACAGTGAGACGAAAGGACCAGCAGCCCGCGGAGGCGCGGTCCAATTGAGGTGTCGTTCCTCTACCCGTGTTTATCGGCCTTTTTTCCCTTTGACTGCCGCTAGCCGGCGGCAGGAAAACTCTTTTTACTGTACTTCGTACGAGCAAAACACTTGCATACATCATCTGGTTTGACTTAGTGTTGGGACGTTTTGTTATGGCTCGCACATCTGGGGACAAAATGGATGATTTTGTAGAATACTCGCTATCTTTTTCGTAGTCGTCATGCGGAATTACAGCCAGAGCCTTACACAAAAACTTTTTCTCGCGCAAATGTTGTCGCTATAAGACCTAAATCAGTGCCAAATCTAGTACATTATAGCCGTCAACGATTCTTGAAACATCTTTCACATTGGCATTCTGGAGGAATAGCTAGCAAGATTAGCTTTTGTTTGCTAGTATCCGATAATTATTAGGTTGGTAAGAAAAGAATGTCGCTTTTT